CTAGCCCCCATACAACAGAACCCCCCGAAAAGGGTTTCTGAACTCATAATTATGTTGAATACCTGTATATCGATAAAAAGCGGCACAACTAAGTCCCCTTCAGAAAATTACGAGAATGTAATTAAAGCCTCTTTCTGAAAATTAGTTTTTCATCCATAAATTGCTTAAATGTATCGGAACAAGGTAATATTGAAGATAAATGCTTTATTATGAAAAATAAATCACATTTAATATTCATAACTGGTGTAGGGTATCATATGGTCGGTCACGCACGACTATACTTTCTTACTTGTTTTTGTTTAATTATGTACAACACAATTCCGTAAGGAATCTTTCTTATAGATTTTTTACTACAAATACTTTTTGAATTTTATGGGTCATTCGAATGCCTTTTTTTTAACAGTTGTTGTATAAAGATATAAAAATTTATTACAGTGGGGCGACAGTGTTATCATTTAAAAGGTATTTGCCATAGTACAGTATCAGTGTTATAGTTATGTATATTAATAAGAAGCAATCGAGATAAAATTTTGCACAAGTTTTTTATGTGATGTATTGCGGACATCGAACCATTATTGACCAACACCAATATAAAGCCCCTTTAAGAAAATTACTTTAACGGTCATAATTGACTTAACAGTAGCAGTATAGCGACGAAATTCGACATAAACAAGTTGTATAAGAACAAAAATCTATCTTCCAAATTTGATTTTAACACTCATAACTGGTTTAATAATAGCAATATTATGACGAAATTCAACACAAACAGGAACAAAAATCACTTTACCAAATTTGATGACGATCGGCTCATAATTGATCCTTTCCCCCATATTATATCCCCATTAGAAAATGACCCTATCGCACTTATGTGACTTAATAATAGCAGTAAGCGACGAAATTCGACACAAACAAGTTTTAAAAGAACAAAATCTTTTGACCAAATTTGAAGAGGATCGAAACCATACCCCCATATAAAGTTCTCTTCAGGAAATTACTTTAACGCTCAAAACAGACTTAATAATAATAGCATAGTGGTGAAATTCGTCATAAACAAGTTTATAAGAACAAAAATATCTGTACCAAATTTAATAAGGATGGATTCAAAATTGACCCTACCCCCCATATAGAGTCCACTTTCGAAAAAGAAGTTATGTCATACAAAAGCCTCAAATACAAGTATAGTGATGAAAATCAACACACAAGTTTTATAGGATCTACAATCTCATTACCAAGTTTTGTAAGGATGGGCCCACAATACGCTTTCAGGACCCTTATTTATTTATAGCCAAATATTTTATGTCAAAAGTATATCAATCTTTCATAGATTGCTGTCATTAAAACGTTCAATATTTAAAACTTTTTAATTTTTTGGCACCTTTTTATAGAAAGCTTGCAAAAAATATAAAATTCTTTAAAAAAGATTAAACTTTAAAGTTTTCAAATAGAACAAGTTTTTAGTATTTAACTGTTTCAATTTCCAAAAAATATGTTTTAATTCGAAAAACACGAAAATTTCGGAATGTATGATCATGTTTTACATCTTATTTAATGGCAATTGGTAGGAGCGCTGATATGATACCCCATTTGTTTATAGGAACTTTTCAATTAACACTTTAAAGAATTAAACATTTTCTTACAATATTAACTTGTACATGGAACAAATTCAATGGGAGTGATAGGTTTGTATGGATTTATAAAGTTTGGATCATAACTTGTTCAAAGTTTCAAAAATGACTAAATTTTCATTTGTTAGTTGGCTTTTTACCTAACTCTTCCAACTTGCTTTTAAACTTTGCATTTCTAGAGATCCAATACCGATTCCAAATGGCTCAATAAGGATTTATTCTCAAATGTACGATTGTAAGGGCAAATAAAAGCAAGGAGATGAGCGAAAAGCTAATTGTGTTTTCTTTCTTTTTCACTCAAAAAGTATATCGAGGGACTATATTCAATAGTCGCTATCTGTCATTTTTATGAAAATGAGATTTTGATGGCAAAATATTCAGCAAACTATCGCGCATCAGTGATATAAATTTCAAAGAAAAAAATATTTTTTGGCAATTTTATAGCATTTTTTAAATTTCTCTATCTTAAAAAAAGAAAAATTCTGAATGCAAAACTCTCTATCTTATCCAAAAATTGTTCAAACTCGATCCCTTTGGATAATTTTCTGTTGCAAAACAAGTCTTCTTAATAATTTGGACATGCTGAACACAAATCCGTCAAAATATTTAAAATCGGTCTAATAGTTTTTGAGATATCGCTCATTATGATACTAATTAAATCAATGTTATTGTCGTGTTTAACCATATAACATTGATTTTGGACCAAAACATTATAATCTGTTGCTTTTTCAACAATTTGGGTTCTTTTCCTCCATTAAATTGTATAAAATATAATATTTATTGATTTTAATTCAAATAAAAATTTTATGTTTCCATGTGAAACAAGTGTGAATTAAATTTTTAGCTTGTTTCTATTTTTCGTTTTTAAACCAGAATGAAATTTTTATTATTTTTAAATCTAAACTGTATTGATACAAAATTATTTTTTAAGTTGAAAGTATTTTTATAAAATTATGTAAAGTTTAATTGTATTGGCTACATATATTCCCCCCTAGAGATGCTGCTAAGAAGGATCTCTAACGAAATCTGAATCGAGTTTTCCGAACTTTAATTGGTATTCGACTATTTACTATTTATTCAGTCCAGCGGGTAAATCTATCAATGCACGTCAATAGATATGTAAAACCTTTGCTGGATGGTAGTGGTCCGACCAGATCTATATTGATATGGCAGAATCGGTCCGTTGGAGTGGGGTATGAAGATATTTCGCTACGTGTATGCCTGGAAACTTTTGTTCGTTGACAGGTAATGCAAGTTTTGATCAAATCTTTTATGGTCTTACTCATATTTGGCCAAACAAAGCGCCTTCGTATTGCTTCATATGTTGGCGAATATCCACTGTGAGTAAGATCGTGGAATGTATGAAAAACGCTATCACGATGGGTTTTGGGAACAAACGGTCTTACGTTCTCAGTTGAGGTATCACAATAAAGTGGTTTGGTATCTGTAGCGACTTTAATCGTCTTAAAAATTAAAGAGGTTGATTCTGGATTTGACAAAAAATGCTGTAGCTCGGGATCATTTTCTTGATCTTCGGCAAATTTTTTTGTAGTCTATGTTAGGCGATCCAGAAATTTCCGTTATGCGGGAAAGAGCATCTGCTACTGTGTTTTCAGAACCTTTTATGTGACGGATATCTGTTGAAAATTGAGCCAGGAAATCTAATTGACGGTACTGTCGCGGACTTGCTTTATCGGGATTTTGTTTGAAAGCAAACGTCAACGGTTTATGGTCTGTAAATATAATGAATTTTCTTCCTTCGAGCATATGACGGTAATACTTTACCACGGTGTATATTGCTAGAAGTTCTCTGTCGTATGTACTATATTTTTTCTGCGTTTCGTTCAATTTCCTGGAGAAAAACGATAACGGTTGCCAACCATCTTCAGTTTTTTGTTGTAATACACCTCCTATTGCGACATCTGATGCGTCGACCATGACACAGATTGGTAAATTTTCACAAGGGTGGGCTAGAAGAGCGACATTAGACAAATCGGACTTACATTTTTCAAATGCTGCGGATGCTTCGGTTGTCAACGTAATAGGAGTATTATCGTTCTTTTTATTACCATTTTGATAAGCAAGAAGTGGTACTTGCGTACTTGCTGCATTTGGAATAAATCTTCTGTAGAAATTAACCATGGCAACGAAACGACGCAGTTCTTTAACGGTCTTGGGCGTAGGGAAATTGACAATAGAATTCACCTTTTCAGGGAGTGGTTTAATGCCGTTTTCTTCAACATGATGACCAAGAAAATTAACTGTATTCTGTCCAAAATAACACTTGTCAACATTGACAACTACTCCATATTCTTGAAGACGTTGAAATACTTGATTGAGATGCTGAACGTGTTGCTCTTCGTTTTCGGAAGCAATCAGAATGTCGTCAATATAAGGGAAACAAAAGTCGAGTCCTCTTAGAACTTCATGGATAAACCGCTGGAAGGTTTGTCCAGCATTACAAAGGCCAAACGTCATATACTGGAATTCGAACAGGCCAAATGGAGTTGTAATTGCCGTTTTGGGAACATCGTTTTCGGCCACGGGTATTTGATTATATGCTCTTATCAGGTCAAGAGTGGAAAAAATACGTTTACCATGAAGTCCATGAGTAAAATCATGAATGTGTGGTATTGGGTACTTATCCGGGATCGTTTGAGCGTTTAGACGGCGATAATCACCGCATGGACGCCATTGGCCGTTTTTTTTGGGTACCAAGTGCAGTGGGCTTGACCAGCAACTTTTTGAAGGTTTACATAGTCCCTGTTCTATCATGAAATTGAATTCTCGTTTGGCAATTTCTAATTTGTCTGGAGGAAGTCGTCTTGGTTTTGCTGTGACTGGACGACCTTTTGTTTCTATAACGTGTTGGATGTTATGCGATTTTTTTCCAACAGCAGTTGAAGGATTGGTTATTGCAGGATATTTTAAAAGTAGAGCGTGATAAGTATCTGTGTTAAGGACTGTTTTAACTTCATAGTAATTAGAAATATTCCCGATTTTTCCTTTTGCGGATAAACCGGTGGTTGAATCAATGAGTTGAACATTTTTAATGTCTACGACGAGACCAAAATTTCTTAAAAAATCAGCTCCGATTATCGGATGAGAAACGTCAGCAACCACAAATTTCCATTGGAAATTCCTTCGGAGACCAAAAGACGGCGATAAGATTTCTTCTCCATATGTGTTGATAGGAGAGTTATTGGCGGCAAAAAGTTTGTACTTTTGACATTTTTCTTCTAATGGATTACGTACCGGCAAGACGGATATATCGGCGCCTGTGTCCACCAGAAAGTGTTTACCAACGGTCTTATCGTACATAAAAAGGCGATTGGTTGCATTTCCCCGGTCACTATTGGCATCTAGTGACCGGGTTGTTAGTTTTCCGACTGATTGCTTACAAATGAGCATGGAGGACGACACTTTCGAGCTCTGTTTTTGAATTTACGGTGATAATAACAAATTTTACCAGAAGAAGAGTTTCGACTGGAACTACCATGTGATCCTCTCGATCTGCTTCTCCTGGATGTGTTGAGATTGCGTAGAGCAGTGTTGATGCTTTGGATTTGAGCTTTAATTTCAGATAATTCACTAGCACTAGTAATTTCAGCTACGTTTGCGTTTCGTGGAATCTGTATATCACCAATCTTGTCAGCCATTTTAACAAGATTATCTAAAGTTTCGGAAGATGTTGCTAAAATCGCTTGAGTTTGGGATGGTAATCTTTGTAACCACATTGTTCGCAAAAAATCTTCCGTAACACCACCATTAGCCAAATTTTTCATCTCTCGGAGAAGTGCGCTTGGCTTTTTGTCTCCGATTTCCACATTTGTCAATAATGTTTTGATGCGATTTTCCTCGGAAACAGAGAAATGATCAATTAGGCGTTGTTTTATTTGCTTATACGCATCGTTGGGAGGATTCATAACGATATCACTCACCTGGCTAAGTACGTCAGCATCCAAATCAGCCAAGATGATAAAGTATTTGGTCCTTTCATTGGTTACGTTGTGTAATGCAAATTGAGCTTCAATTTGTGCAAACCAAAGAACCGGATTGTCTTTCCAGAAACGAGGAATTTTCATGGCAATGGATAAATTAGGGGTGGGTGCATCGACAGCAGTAGGATTCTGGCCAGTAGCTGATGTTGAACATTGCTCTGCGGTAGAACGTGTTAACGGCATTTTTTAGTGAAAATAAACTCGGGGTCACCAATTGAAACAAGTGTGAATTAAATTTTTAGCTTGTTTCTATTTTTCGTTTTTAAACCAGAATGAAATTTTTATTATTTTTAAATCTAAACTGTATTGATACAAAATTATTTTTTAAGTTGAAAGTATTTTTATAAAATTATGTAAAGTTTAATTGTATTGGCTACACATGAAAAACTCTCTATCTGTTGGTTGAATGAACATTTTCGTAGAAAAATAAGCTCTATCTGATATAAATTTGTGAATAATTTTGTAAATGTTGCAAAAATTAAAATTCTTTTTATATAATGGTTTAGAATATGGTCGTAAAAATATATTGTAAAAGAAAAAATTAAAAAATCTTCACGAACTAGCGAAATAAACAGTTTTTTTGCTCTCCTGAAAACTTGTATTATTTTAGATAGAGACTATTGAATATAGTCCCTCGATATGTTTTTGTTTCGCTCATGTACAGAAAGATTAAGCAAACTTAAAAAGTTGTGCATATTGTAGAAAGGTTTGCGAATTGTTTTGTTACTTTTAATACACTGCTCGTTAATCAATTCGGAAAGATTTTAAAATATATAAATATTTTTTTATAAAATAAATAAAATGTGTGTATGAAACTAAAGAGCCACATCTCCACATCCAATGAGCCGCATTTGGCTCACGAGCCGTAGTTTGCCGACCCCTGGTTTAGGGTATCATATGGTCGGTCACGCCCGACTATACATTCTTACTTGTTTTTTTATGCCTTACAATAAGTAGTTAAATCTTAAAACTAAAATAATTATTTGTCTCTTAGAGGAGAATTATCAAATAAGTGCTAAGTCAGCTCTACGTAGCCTTGATCTGTTTTGCGTTCCTGTTAGTAGCCTTCCAAGGGGATTCGGATGAGAATGTAATTTTGACCGATAAGCTTCACGAGCTTTTCTAAATTCGTCCTTGACCAATGGTATATAAAAGTCTCTGTGAAAGTTCTCATTTCTTGTATACATACCATGGAGCTCCCGTCATGGTTCTAAGAATTTTGGATTGGGCCCTCTGTGTAAGGTCTATACTGGAATGCTAGCTGTTCCCCATAATTGCATTCAATATGTCTAGATTGGTTTTAAAACTGTTTTATACAGTACTAGCTATACCCAGTGTGCTTTGCTACCCTAAAATCAATGTATATAAAAAAACAGTTTACGATTTTGAAGATTCTAAATGTAATAGTTTTCCAGATATACATTTTGGGGATGTCACGCAAATTATTGGAAGTTCGGCAATTTTTCCAAACGTTAATTTAGATTTTAATGTAACCTATGAACAAATTAAATAATAGTTTCCCACATTTACGAAATTTTGTATTTAATTCATATGGGAGATCCCAAGATCCCATTGATAATCCGCCCATTTTTCTCTAAATGTTCACATAAATGTCGAAGTTTTTCATGTAAAATTTTCTAGTTCTTATATTTTTTCAGAATATGAATTTTTTATTTAATTCATATGGGAGGTTCCAATTTGCAAGTCCGCCAATATATTACCCAAATGTTCACATTGACTTCAAAGGATTTTTGCTCTAATAGTTCCCCAGACATACGATATTTTCTACTTATTTCATATGGGAGGTTCCAACCCCCCTAATGATAGTCCGCCCATTTTCCCCAAAATGCTCAAAAAAATGTTAAATTTCATCGTGCAAAATTTGAAGATTTTAGGTCTATTAGTTTCTCAGTCAAACGACAACGCCAATTTATTTACATGGATGTTAAAGTTGTTCTTGCAAAATTTGAAGATTTTAGCTCTAATAGTTTTTCAAATATACGAATTTTTCTATTTACTTCATATGGGGTGTTCTAAGTCCCCCTGATAAAAGTCCGCCCTTTTTCCCCAAAATGTTCAGATGAATATTAAAGTTATTCTTGCAAATTTTTAAGAAGCTAGCTCTATTAGTATCCCAGTTAAACGAATTTTTGTATATTTTATCCATATGGGAGGAGGAACGCCCGCTCCCAATGGTAGTCCGCCAATTTATTACACAAAATGTTTACATGGATGCTAAAGTTCTTCGTGCAAAATTTGAAGGTTCTAACTCTAATAGTTTTCCAGATAAGCGAATTTTTGTATTTAATTCATATGGGGGTGCCACGCCCCCATCTGCTAGTAAGCCCCCTTATTCCTTAAATAATCATATTGATCCTAAAGTGGGTCCTACAAAATTTGAGTACTCTTTTTGTTATGTTTTCTCAGATATACTGATTTAAGATTTTCTTCATATGGAAGGTGCCACGACCACTATCGCCATTCCGCCCATTTTATCCAAAAACATTCTTATGGATGTCAAAGTTGTCCATACAAAATTTGAGGACTCCAACTCTTGCAGTTTCTGAGATATGCTACTTTTAATATTTATTTTAAATGTGGACGTGGCACGTCGACCACACATTCATTTTTATATACATATATAGATGAGTTTGCTAATGCTGGTTAATTAGCCAGAATAGACCAGAAGCTTTAAGTTTACTGTGGAACCGCTTGGCCTCTATGTGTCGGCCCTAAGTAAAACGCCTGTCCAAATGGTAGTAGGCATTTAATCTTATTAGACCTTTATGCCAAACCCTGTCAAAAGCCTGCTGATAATAATCCATGCTTATCTTCACGAAAAAAACTTTCGTAAGTACTTTTTTCGTAATATGTATAATACGAAATATTTTTTAATCAAACCTTTTATAATTTTACAAAAGTACGAAAATCTGTCGTAATATCTTTTTTCGAATATATTAAGAAACTTAGTTTTATTTTAAGCTTAAGGCAAATGAGGCTCCTTCATGGCGTACAATCGTTCTGCAGTATTAATGCCCGTAATTTCAACAAATAGATATCTATAGCTTAAAATATCTAGTAGGTAACTTTACCAAAGGGGTAAGTTGACATATATTTCAAATCAGTTCATTAAAATTATCAAATATTTTTACACCAAAGGTAACTATGCACTGATAGATACATATTTGTTGAAAAAATTACGAATATGCTATGATTTTTTTATTAAAAATTAATTTGAAAAGTATGTATTAAGAAGTTGCTTTAGTTTTGACCAATTCATATTGAATATAAATTCCTTTTTGTGTCCTTAAATACATATGATTTAAAATCTTGGAATTTTTTGTACTTTTTTATAGTTAACAAATTATATTACTGGAAACAAAAAACAGTTATTAAATTTCTTCAGCGTAAAAAATATATGTACAAATCCACATAAATATAATATCAGTTGCTTTAGTTTTGGCCACCAGTGTATATATGTATATAAGGAAATTGTATAAGCTTTCTTTTAAGCAAAAAAAAAAGCCCATTTTGAAAAAAAAAAAAAATATTAAAAAAAAATTTAAATATTTAAATATTTCATTTTTAAAAAAATATTAATAGCTTACTACATTGATATTGTGTTGCTTATTTTGTATTCGAAAGTGCTTACAAACTTACACACACTCTGGCTTACTTTACACAGGGTATGGCCGCTTGAAAATGACACACTAACTGATATACTTGGTTTGCGATATTGTGTGTAGATTATACTTTTTTTATAATATACTTGTGTGTGGAAAAGTAGCTATTCCTACATTCTTACCGATATACCTAGTAAGTAAAATTGTTTCTACAGCACCTTCCTAGCTGGAACACAAGTGTATCAAAAAGTATCTGCAACAACTTTCTAGTTAAAATACATGTGTATTAAGAAGTATCTAAATATGTATGTTTTTTATTTAAAAAATGCTACCCAAATACATGTATCTACAAATTCATTCATAAGTATAAGGCCATTCCAATCATCTAAACATTGAAAAAATGTTGATCCAAAAAATATTTTTCGATAAATGAAAAATTTTTTGTTGATTAAATTACAACACATTTGATTTTTTTATATTTTAATTTTCTGTTCTCATATACACTCAAACCTCGATTTATGCGATTAATTCGTTTCGCAAAAAAGCGCATAATTCAAATTCGCACAAAACGATACACTAGCTCCATACAAAATCCACTAGTTGGGTTTTAAATAAAAAAGCGCACATTTTCAAATTATTCCCTTAAAAGTCAAACAAAATCGCATATAAAAAATCAACAAAAATTTAATTCTTTACTGAAACCATAAAAAATAAAGGAAACAAACAACAAAACAATATCAATTCCAAATAATGAAGAAAATATACAACATTTCTTAAAAATAAAACTTAATATTTCTTCATGTACAAAGGATTTGAGCAATACTTTATATATCCGAACCGGAATTGGTAAAAAATCAGTAGTTGTAGTTTGTTGATCACTTTTTTTGGATGTATGTGGACCAAAATTTTCCTCAAAATTATTTTTGCAAAGAAAAATTTTAGAATTTTGAAACCGCACAATTTCAAATTCGCATAAAACGAGGTTTGAGTGTACAATGTTAATCACAAGTATATTAAGATGTAATGCAAAAAAAAAAATTTATTCAAAATTTAAACTTCATATCTAGATTTTATATACAAGTAAATCAAATTATAAGTAACACAAAGTAAAGCACACAACATTGGTTACAATTCCGAGTACTCTGAAAATTTTCTGTGGGGTAGCTATCATCCAAATCGGAAGACATCGATTTTTAAAGTTAGGTCACTTGACACGAGATATATATATTAGAGTGCTCCAAAAAACGAAGTTGCGAATTTTGGCCGTCCCCCCCTCTAGAATTGTTCTTTGAGTTGTAAAACTATATCATACAAAAAATTAGGCTGATAGGATAACGTTAACAGGTGCCGCAACGGCTCTGAAATTTTCAAGTGCATTTACAAGGAAAAAATATCGATTTTTTTCAGTTTTTGTGCACAGAGTAAACATTTCGGAAAGATATGAAACACAAAAATTGCTTGAAAACTTTAAAAGTTATTGCATATTCCCCCGGCCATTAACGTGTATCACAGCACATAAATTCGAAATGTGACAAAAAAATTTACTTTTTTTGGGATATATTCTAAAAAAACATTTTGTTACT